CCTTCTATGATGAGATAACTAGTTCTGTGGATGAAGGGAAAGCAGTGGACGTGTTATTCCTCGACTTTAGCAAAGCTTTTGACACGGTCTCCCACAGCATTCTTGTCAGCAAGTTAAAGAAGTATGGGCTGGATGGATGCACTACAAGGTGGGTAGAAAGTTGGCTAGATTGTCGGGCTCAACGGGTAGTGATCAATGGATCCATGTTTAGCTGGCAGCCGGTATCTAGCGGAGTGCCCCAAGGGTCGGTCCTGGGGCCGGTTTTGTTCAATATCTTCATTAATGATCTGGAGGATGGTGTGGATTGCACCCTCAGCAAGTTTGCGGATGACACTAAACTGGGAGGAGTGGTAGATACGCTGGAGGGTAAGGATAGGATACAGAGGGACCTAGACAAATTGGAGGATTGGGCCAAAAGAAATCTTATGAAGTTCAACAAGGACAAGTGCAGAGTCCTGCACTTAGGAAGGAAGAATCCCATGCACCGCTACAGACTAGGAACCGAATGGCTAGGCAGCAGTTCTGCAGAGAAGGACCTAGCGGTGACAGTGGATGAGAAGCTGGATATCAATCGACAGTGTGCCCTTGTTGCCAAGAAGGCCAATGGCATTTTGGGGTGCATAAGTAGGGGCATTGCCAGAAGATCGAGGGACGTGATCGTTCCCCTTTATTCGACATTGGTGAGGCCTCATCTGGAGTACTGTGTCCAGTTTTGGGCTCCACGCTACAAGAAGGATGTGGAGAAATTGGAGAGAGTCCAGCGAAGGGTAACAAAAATGATTAGGGGTCTGGAACACATGATTTATGAGGAGAGGCTGAGGGAACTGGGATTGTTTAGTCTACGGAAAAGAAGAATGACGGGGGATTTGATAGCTGCTTTTAACTACCTGAAAGGTGGATCCAAAGAGGATGGATCCAGACTATTCTCAGTGATAGCAGATGACAGGACAAGGAGTAATGGTCTCAAGTTGCAGTGGGGGAGATTTAGGTTGGATATTAGGAAAAACTTTTTCACTTGGAGGGTGGTGAAACACTGGAATGCGTTACCTAGAGAGGTGGTGGAATCCCTTTCCTTAGAAGTTTTTAAGGTCAGGCTTGACAAAGCCCTGGCTGGGATGATTTAGTTGGGATTGGTCCTGCTCTGGGCAGGGGGTTGGACTAGATGACCTCCAGAGGTCCCTTCCAACTCTGATATTCTATGATTCTATGATTTTAGAAATTCATTTCTTCTGACAGGTTTACTTTTGGTTGTAGCTTCTAAGAAACACTCATTTTCAGTTTAAGGCAGTCCTTGTTTCAAAGGCTGATAATCTTTTAAATTTCTCTGTTGTGAGGATTAACTAGTTAATGTTCATAAATCCTTCAGAAACTTAACATTGTTACATATGAGCTAAGTTTCAGAGTTGTTGTTATTACTAGGGATTATGAGTGAAATGCTTGCCTCACTGAAGTCAATGGGAGCTTTGCCCTTGACTTGACTAAGACTTAGATTTCACCTAGATTGTATTTTAAAAGGGAGTCTCATTTTTGAGGACAGGGAAAGGCATATTTTAGACCTCTCAGCTTGATATCCTCTTAAAATAACAGTTTCCCCCCTCTCTCTCTGTATGAATTTCTATCAGTTCATCTTTTAGACCTTTCCACCAATATCCATCTAGAGTTTTACAATTACACTGCAGAAGTAAAGGACTGGGATACATTTCTTGGAAGGCAAATTGTAATGTGGATATGGATAAGCAATATCAAAACACTAAATGAAAAACCATCATGTATTGAGACACCCCACCTACCAAGTCTCTGGATATATATATATATCTTGTTATAAGGATGATATTCACCCTGTGCAAAGGGCCAGTGCAAGGCAGATACACCACTAGAATCCCTCTTAAGTTCTCAAAACAGGTCATAAGGGTCCATAGGTCTTGTGCTGGTCCTTCTACACAAGGATGAATTTCTTCTGACGTAAATATAAGGAAGCAAGTTTCTTATAATAATTTGCATCCTTGCATGATTTAATGTATTGTAATTAAAATTCCCAACATGTGACCCTAAAATGTTTCTATACACAAGCCAATGAGTATGACCATCCAGGACTGAAATTATTTTACTGACCATGGAAAAATAGATGTAATTAAAATGACATCTGCAGTACTACCTGATGGGATAAGAAAATGTGACATCCCAGATCTCATATAAATGGCAAACATATTATTAGATCTAAACCTGGCTGTAAAATTACTATCTACCCAGTGCGATTATCTTCAAGCATTGTTTCATTTACTGATATAGCACTAGTGAGAACAGGCTGACTTTGCTCATCACGTTATTTTTTAAGTCTTCCTTTCCTTTCCCATTTATTCTTCCTGCATGTTAGTTGCAGGTGGGAGGAAGACGTGTTCCAGCTGAATCACTTTTTGGGGGCACTTAGTTGTTTTACAGTTTGTTCCAAATGATGTTTTTCAGCAAAAATTAAATAAACAAAATTTTAAAATGGAGATGAAGAGGATAAAGACAATGCAACATCTAAGAATGGGGCGATCTAAAGGTTACTCACTGGACAAATGCAGCACCGTGAGTTCTATAACATGGCTCATGGCTATCATCCTTAATACAGAGATGCAAACCAGAGACTACAGGTAAAAACCTGGCCTCACTGACGTCAATGGCAAAACTCCCATTGAATTCAATGGGGCCAGGATTTCATGACAAGTCTTAACATTCAGTGTTCCAGCTGTAGTCTTTGTAGGTCATATTTCCATATTGACATGAAGGGCAGCTACATTCTTCTCCATTTTCTATACAAATTAGCATGAGGCTTTTTGGTTCCTGGAAAGTTATGAATGTTGCCTGTATCTGGCAAAATTTCGTGGCAATCTATTCACAAGTGCCAACATTTTCAGAAGTGCCTAATGATTTTGGGTATGTCTGTTTTTTGGATGACCACTCTGAGACACTTAAAAGGCATTGAGGCACCAAACTCCAGAGTCACTTTTCAAAGTCTTGGCCAAGTTCTTGAACGATAAGAACACGGTTACCAACATTTGTAAAAGTTACCATGGGACAATTTTTCAAAGTTGGCAAGAGCCTGGGTGGCGGTAGAACTACAGCCAGCTGCAGGTTGTGTGTACAAATAAATAAATAAATAACCACTTCCTTCTAGGTTTCAGAGTAGCAGTCGTGTTAGTCTGTATTCGCAAAAAGAAAAGGAGGACTTGTGGCACCTTAGAGACTAACCAATTTATTTGAGCATAAGTTTTGTGAGCTACAGCTCACTTCATTGGATGCATTCAGTTTTTCACTTCCTTCTAGACCTTCCAGAATTTGCAAATATACCCTGTCCTGCTATCCCTATAAGCTCCCCACTCTGCTCCAGCCCTGCCCTGCTCCCCAACCTCCCGCCCTGCTCCACGAATGAGACTCCGAGCCACTACCACAATACAAATAAATAAATAACCACCTTTCACCTTGCTACTAAACCTTCCAGAATTTGCAAATATACCCTGTCCTGCTATCCCTATAAGCTTGCCGCTGTGCATAAATCTTTGAGCCAACCCTCATCATATCTACAGTTAGATCAATACAGAGTCAGAGAGTCACTCAGGCTGTGGTCTGTGCTGGAAGTGGTGACTCTATAGGCAGATCAGCCACACCGCCTGTAAGCAAAAGCACCTATGTGACAGCCTGAGCCAGCAGCCATGTGCCTCATCAGCATGAACTAGACATGGACACTTGATTGTGGTAGGGCACACCTGAGGATAGAGCAGAGTGAAAACAAAGGATGTGGGGTGGGGCGGGAGAGAGAGAGGCATGCAGAGACAGAGATGGACAGGAGGCTGATAGCTAGGGAGAGAAGAGGGAGAAAGAGGAAGAATGGCCAGAGGAGAAAATGAGGAAAAGGAAAATAAGACAAAAGCATACCAAATATAAGAATATAAGACAGAGTGGGAGCGATAGAGTCAAAAGGAACAGAGCACAAACCAAAATAGAAAATAGCAATATCTCTGAACACTGATCCGTGTTTTAAATGCATCTCTGATATACTGCTGAGTAGGCTGAAATCCATTATTTTCTCAAAGGTGGCATTGCAGATGTGGGGTTAGGCTGTCTGAGAGGGATGATTGGGAGGGCCTGTTGTTCTTGCATATGTCATAATCCCAAGAGTGGGGTAATGGGTCTCAGTGTGATTTGTTTTCCTCCTATTCAATTGATGTCAAACCTGGATACTGGATAGGGCACCTCCTATACTTCACCATTAACAGCTGGCTGGCATGCATGCTCTATCAAACCTTACAGCCAAATCAAGCTATACGGGAATAAGAAGTCTGTTTCCTCTAAAATAGAAATTTTGTTTACATTCCTCATTTCTGTCTATAAATCTAGAATTAAGGGGTCAATGTATTTGTGAGCCTAAAATGGAGAGCCCATGTTAAAGAACAGTCCAAAAGGAAGAAAGCCTGAAGGGCTGTTACATCAGGGACTTTAAGTGCATGTCTATGTTCCAAATGTTTTGCAGATTGAGAACTGAGCTGTTCCTTTATTATAATGCCCAGTGTCTACAGATACTCTACAATGACATAGTATTAGATAATTAGAATAGTCCCTTGTCTAGGTGAAAAAGGAACAGTCTGCAAAGTGATGGGTGATAGCTGATTTGTGTGAAATAATAAATACCTCTTGGGTCTAGAAGCTGGACTGGAAATCTCCTGAGATCAGGCTCCTTATGAGTAATTTTGTACTTCATTGTTTTAAACAGGGCAGAAATACGAATCTGCTTTTCTTGTAGTATTTTAGTAGTTCTTCTCTTCTCCCCACCACCCCCTCTGCCATACACACATACAAAGAGGGGCAGAAGCATGTAAAAGTTAGACAAAAAACATCACCAATATTATTTTGAACATTAAAATCAGGTTGAGTTTGTATTTTAGACCAAGGGGTGTGTGAGTTCTGATTTTATCCAAATACACTTGCCCATCCTTACATTTATTACAGAGATGCCTTACCTCATTTGCATCTTGGTGATCTCTCAAGGCAATCATACTTTTAATGGCTTTGATAAAAAATCCATTCATCTCATCACGACTCTTGTTTGGCAAAATCCGGGACAGTGGGATCATTATGAATGGAAATGCAACTGTAAGAGATTATTAAAGAGAACATCGAAGTTGGGTGTAGGAACACTTATCTCCCCCACCCCAACTTTATTTGGGCCCCCATTTAGTAGGCTGTTTTAATTTTATACCACTTATTTCTCTGATTTTATCCCTCTATTACAGACTGATATTGCTTAGCCTCCAACCTATTTTGACATGACTAGGAATCTCTTGTTAGTCACATGCCCTCTAAAGTTTGCCCCAATTTGCAGTTTTGTCCCACAGTACAAAAATTCAGTGCAACTTCATAATGCTGGAGCATCATGGTGAAAGAAGGAGATTTCTTTTCTCCCCTTTCCCCCTCCCCGATAATTAAATCTGAGATTTTTAATCCTACAAGCTAGCCTGGCAGGGTATGGAGTGGACCCATGAAACTCTAGATGGATGGTAACCTATCTCTCATCTCTTGCTTCCTGTCCATGTATAGGAAACTGGTTGCCTACTTTACTCTTTCTACTACACAACCTTTTACAGAAGAGACCAAGGCAGAGGGAACCTGGAAGCAGGATGTCACTAAAATGTAACCAGGGCCCAAGTGTGCACTCCTTCCCCTTAGTGTTTATAATCAGTGACAAGAAATCTGAAGTATTGCACTTCAGTACAACTAAGCTGGCAGGTGAACCCACTAGGCTATCAAACAGCTCCCTGTTTAGCTATCAAAACAGTGCACCATGAGCATCTTCAAGCAGCTTTACCAACACTAACTAATTAACTGTCATAACACTCCTGTGAGATCAACATGTAAGCCAATAAGCTGTTGTGAATCAAATTGTGTGATGCACTAGTGGCAAGGATAATGCTGAAGACCAGCCTTCTCCATGCAGACACCCCACACGATGCAGAAACTTACTTTCTTTAATGGAGGTCTTGGCTCACTAAGGCCTTATTGATACCTGGCCCACCGAAGTCTATGTAAAAACTTCCATCAAGTTCCTAATTATCTAAGTATAGACAAGGCCTTAGTCACATTCAGCCTCAGCTGGACTAGAATTTATGACATAAGGCTTTATATTCCATTACCAGTCCCATAACGCAGTCCCTATTTTTTCACCTCAAAATAAATACATTCTTTTATTGGCCTCCTATACCAGCATTTATCATCTTCATCCTTTACAGACACCAACCAGACAGCTCCTGTTTAAATGATAATTTTAAGGACTTACGATATCAGGACACACTTATCCCCTCACCTCATCCCCTTTCTGTACGATTTTGTTAAGGGGTGGGCTCTTTACTCCTACCAAGTAAGCACAGGGCATCCAAACTGCTCACGCATGGGGCTTATTAAGAATCTGTCAGCAGTCTATGGGCCACACTTAATTCACATAACATGGATTACATTGCAGTGACTCAGTTTTACTATGAAAGTGAAACCCGCAGAGACTACAGGTCCTAGAAGACTTCCATTCACATCAAGGTGAAGCATTGCCTTATGGGATATGTAGTTAGTCAGGAAATATGTTCAAAATGAAGATGGGGGTGGATGCGGGCCACATTGTAGAAATCTACTGGGTATATTTGGTGTGTGGGCTGCAGTGTGAATACCTCTAAAACAAAGCCTTCAGTATGCCTTCCTGCTCCCTCTTCACAAGGTTTTGTGACTCAAGAATAATTTTTAAAAACATATATATAAATAAATAGACAAAGATGGGCTATACTTACTTATTAGAATTAGGATGGGCCTAAGCACTGAAAATTCAAAGAACTTTTTGCAGTTCTTAACAAAGGTATCATCAGGATTCTTCTGAGAATCCACGTGGGTACCGAAAGCCACACTAGCAACGACATCCAAGGTGAAGCAGCCGTAACTCCTGCATTGAATTTAAGAACATGACCTCATTAGCTGCTTGTTTGCATCTCCATAGAATCATAGAAATGTAAGACTGGAATGGACCTCCGTAGGTCATCTAGTCAAGTCCCCTGCACTGAGGAAGAACTAAGTACTATCTAGACCAGGGATTGGCAACCTTTGGCACGTGCCCCATCAGGGAAAGTCCCTGGCGGGCTGGGCCGGTTTGTTTACCTGCCGTGTCCGCAGGTTCAGCTGATCACAGCTCCCACTGGCCGCGGTTTGCCGTCCCAGGCCAATGGGGGCTGCGGGAAGAGTGGCCAGCACATCCCTCGGCCGGCACTGCTTCCCGCAGCCCCCATTGGCCTGAAGCAGCGAACCACGGCCAGTGGGAGCTGCGATCAGCCAAACCTGAGGATGCAGTAGGTAAACAAACTGGCCCAGCCTGCCAGGAGCTTACCCTGACGGGCCGCATGCCAAAGGCTGCTGATCCTTGATCTAGACCATCTCTCACAGGTGTTTGTCTAATCTGTTCTTAAAAACCTCCAATGACAGAGATTCCACAGCTTCCCTGGGCAATTTGATTCAGTGTTTAACTACCCTTAAAGTTAGAAAGTTTTCCTAATGTCTAACCTAAATCTCCCATACTACAATTTAAGCCCATTTCTTCTTGTCCTATCTCAGTAGATAAGGAGAACAATTTATCATCCTTTTCTTTATAACAATCTTTTTGGTATTTGAACACTGTTATCATGTTCCCCCCTCAGTCTTCTCTTCTCCAGACTAAACAAAATCAATTTTTTAAATCTTTCCTTGCAGGTCAGATTTTCTAAACCTTTAATCATTTTTATTGCTCTCCTCTGGACTTTCTCCAGTTTATCCACATCTTTCCCAGAGTATGGTGAGCAGAACTAGACACAGAGCTCCTGCTGAGGCCTTATCAGTGCTGAGTAGAGTGGAAGAATTCCTTCTTGAGTCTTGGTTACAACCCTCCTGCTACTACAGCCCATAACGATGTTCGCTTTTTTTCCCCAACAGTATTATACTGTTGATTCATATTTAGTTTAAGGTGCACTATGACCCCCAGATCCTTTTCTGCAGTACTCCTTCCTAGGCAGTCATTTCCCATGTTACATTTGTGCAGCTGATTACTTCTTTCTAAGTATTATACTTTCCATTTGTCCTTATTGAATTTCATCCTATTTATTTCAGACCATTTCTCCAGTTTGTCAAGATTATTTTTAATTATAATCTTGTCCTCCATAGCACTTGCAACCCCTCTCAATTTGGTATTGTCTACGGACTTTATAAGTCTACTCTCTGTGCCATTATCCAAATTATTTGTGAAGATATTGACTAGGACCTGACCCAGGGCAGTTCCCTGCAGGACCCCACTCAATATGACCTTCCATCTTGACTGTGAACCGTAACTATTCTCTGAGTATGGTTTTCCTACCATTTCTGCACCCAGTTTACAGCAGGTTTGTCTGGGCTACATTTCCCTAGTTTGTTTATGAGAAGGTCATGTTAGCATCAAAAGCCTTACTAAAGTCAAGATATATCATATCTACTGTTTCCTTCCTACCCACAAGGCTTGTTACCCCATGTCAAAGAAGAATATTACGTTGATTTGACGTGATTTGTTCTTGATAAATCCATGCCAACTATTACTTATCACCTTATTATAGTCTAGGGGCTTACAAAATTTATTGTTTGAATATTTGCACCATTATCTTTCTGGGTACTGAAGTCAAGTCAGCTGGTCTATAATTCTGTGGGTTGTCCGTATTCCCCTTCGTATAGATAGGTACTATATTTGCCCTTGTCCAGTTTTCTGGGATCTCTCCCGTCCTCCAGGAGTTCTCAAAGATAATCATTAATGGCTCAGAGATCCCTTCAGACAGTTCCTTATGTATTCTAGGATTTACTTCATCAAGCCCTGCCAACCTGAAGACATCTAACTTGTCTAAGTAATTCTTAACTTGTTCTCTCAATATCTGCTTCACAAATATTACATTATACCTTTTTCCCTTTGTTTTTTAGATTTGGATCAATTTTCATTAGCTTTGAGTTTCACCTCCAGCAAAGTTTTTCCTTATTCTTCTAACAACAAACAACAAAGGCTAACTGCTATTAATAATAGCAGCCTCCAGCCTCCTCTAAAGTTCATGTGAGAAATTTTAATATTGTTTATATAACTCTTTTGGCCAGGAACTGTACTTCTAAATTATAAAAAGAAAAAAAAAGTCTCTTTATAAATGGTTATAAATCAAATGCAATATGTCAGGGGTTCGCAAACAACTATCAAATTATCCACGGTCACAGCCCCCATGTCATCTTATGAAAGACTAGTTTGATTCTGGATATCAGATTCTCTGGTGCTTTGACCATGAAAAAGCTGCCTCTTTAGCTCAAAAGGAGATCCCTATCTGTGAGAATGTTTCTTATAACCCTGCCAATAATTTCTATCCATATATTGTACAGCAGCATTTCTCAAACTGTGGTCAATGGACCACTGGTGGTTTGCACATCACGAGGGACTGAAGGGAGCCACAAAGGAACACAAGGACATTGCTGAGAAACGAAATTATTTCTTTGCATCAGTCTTCACTGCAGAGAATATTCCGGAGATACCTACCCTGGACCTGCTCTTCCCTGCTAATAAAGATGAGGTAATATCAGAGATTAAGGTGTCAGAAGAAGAGGTACTGGAACAAAATGATAATTTAAAAAGCAACAGATGGTATACCTCCAAGGATTCTGAAGTTCATCTAAAAAATGACAGTGCAGAATTAAAGGGGGTTCAGAGGAGAGGGATGAGAATAATTATGGGCATGGAAAAACTATCATATGAAGAGAGTCTGCAGAGACTGGGATAATTTACCTTAGAGAGGAGATAAGAGAGGATATGATACAAGTATACAAAATAACTATATACTTGTATATGAAATAGTCTAGAGAAGGCAGATTGGGAGCTTCTCTTCTCCCTCTCTCATAAGAACAATGGGACATTCAATTTAATTAAAAGCTGGCAAATTCAAAACTGATAAAAGGAAATATTTTTTCACTTAATTAGACTGTGGAACTCATTGCTACAGGAAGTTATTGAGGCCAATAATTTTGCAAGATTCAAAAAGGAATTGGACATTAATATGGATAACAAGAATAACCAGAGTTATAATAGTTAATGCCAACAAAAATTTTGAAAGGGATATTCAACCTCATACTTCAGGGTTTATGCCAATCTCTGACTATTTAGCGATGAGGATGAGAACTAAAATTTGAGACAAATTATCCTACAACTGCCTATCTTGGGGTTTGTTGCCAGCTTTTGGTGCTGGCACTGTTGGAGACAGGATACTGGACTAGATGGGTCTGATCCAGTATTGCAGTTCCTGCGTTCACATGTTTCTAGTGGACTACAGGGAGTTGACTGGACACAGGCTGATGTATCTCTCCTTTTTGTTTCCAGCTGTTATACTTCATTAAAAGATAGCTACAAATACCTTAGATACTTTCCTAAAATTACTTTTCCAAATAAGCAATTGCTGCCACAGGGATGTTAGGGTATGTCTACACTGCAAAGAAAAACCCCTGGCTCTGCGTCTCGGAGACCAGGTCAATTGACTTGGGCTTCTGAGGTTCGGTTGCAGGGCTAAAAATAGCAGTGTATTTGTTCCTGCTTGGGTTGGAGACCGGGCTCCAAGACCATCAGCCCTCACCAGGTTTCAGAACCAGGGCGCCAGCCCAAGCGGGAACATCTCTGCTGCTATTATTAGCCCTGCAGCTGGAGACCTGTGAGCCCAAGCCTGATTGACCCTGGTTCTGGGACTCAGCACAGTGGTGTTTGATTTGCAGCATAGACATACCTTTAGAGTGAGAATGACTGCAAAGGAGAGGTGTCTCATCAGACACACCCAGCATTAAGCTGTGATCCACCCTCGGAAAAAGACCGAGAACTCCTTTTGTAAAGTAAGCGTGTATTTAGGGGAAGCGTGACTATTCAAGGATTTTGAAAAGGTGATTCTCATTTGTAGTGTGGTGAATGTACCTTTGGATATCAAAAGCCTTGCCAGAATCTGCATACACCTTCAAGTTACTCAGCAGGACATCACATGCTTGGTTTATTAGTGGAGTCATCTGAAAAGGAACACACATGGCATAATAAAAAAACCAATAATTTCCTCTATATTAGTTACATACAGTAGATGGTACAGTGCTCACAAGATCTTCTGTATCAGTGGATGAGTAATTTTTTCTGAGGCAGAAGGAAGCTTGGAGGAAGGGGCAGACAGACACCTCTTGTTTCTCAGGGCTAGTCTACACACTAGAAGTGCTACCGCTGCACCAATGCCGCGCGTCTAGTGAAGATGTTCTATGTCGACAGGAGAGAGCTCTCCCATGAGTATAATAAAACCACCTCCACAAGAGGCAGTAGCTATGTCAGTGGGAGAAGCTCTCCCGCCAACATCGCTGTCCACACCAGTGCTAAGATCGGTGTGTCATAAAAATAAAGGGAAGGGCAACCACCTTTCTGTATACAGTGCTATAAAATCCCTCCTGGCCAGAGGCAAAACCCTTTCACCTGTAAAGGGTTAAGAAGCGAAGATAACCTCACTGGCACCTGACCAAAATGACCAATGAGGAGACAAGATACTTTCAAAGCTGGAGGGGGGGAAACAAAGGGTCTGTCTGTCTGTGCGATGCTTTTGCCGGGAACAGATCAGGAATGCAGTCTCAGAAACTCTGTTCAGTTAGTAAGTAATCTAGCTAGAAATGCATTAGATTTCCTTTTGTTTAATGGCTGGTAAAATACGCTGTGCTGAATGGAATGTATATTCCTGTTTTTGTGTCTTTTTGTAACTTAAGGTTTTGCCTAGACGGATTCTCTATGTTTTGACTCTGATTACCCTGTAAGGTATTTACCATCCTGATTTTACAGAGGTGATTATTTTACCTTTTCTTTAATTAAAATTCTTCTTTTAAGAACCTGATTGATTTTTCATTGTTCTTAAGAGCCAAGGGTTTGGGTCTGTATTCACCTGTACAAATTGATGAGGATTTTTTATCAAGCCTTCCCCAGGAAAGGGGTTGTAGGGCTTGGGGCGATATTTTGGGGGAAGATGTCTCCAAGTGGGCTCTTTCCCTGTTCTTTGTTTAACATGCTTGGTGGCGGCAGCATACGGTTCAAGGACAAGGCAAAGTTTGTACCTTGGGGAAGTTTTTAACCTAAGCTGGTAAGAATAAGCTTAGGGGGTCTTTCATGCAGGTCCCCACATCTGTACCCTAGAGCTCAGGGTGGGGAAGGAACCTTGACACAGTGTAACTGACGTCACTCTGGGGGTGGCTTATTCACACCCTGGAGTGACCTAAGTTATACTGTCATAAGTGGTAGTGCGTACAAGCTCTCCGCTCTGACCACAAACAGTGTGCCAGCTCCACCAACTGGCTGCTGGAACAGCAGTTGCCACTGCCTGGATATACACATAGTTAATGGCCATCAAATACTCTGCTAAGAGTCCTTCGCAGGTGCCGACACATGATGGTCAAGAGAGGATCTAACCATGACAGGGGTGTGGTTAACAGAGGAGTAATCCATCTTTGTTGACTCCTACAAGTCAGGGCAAAAGCAGAGCAATGATCAAAACCCCATTTGGTATTGGTCTATGTACCGCCACACATAAAAAGGGCATCAGTGGGCAGTCATGCCTCTTGGTCAGAGCAGGAGTCAGGCCTAGTGGTCAAAGCAGGCACTGGGAAGTGGCTCCAATCCAAGGGTCAAGGCTGCAGACAGGAATCACTAGCCACAACAGGAGTCAGAGCTGGAGTCAAGAACCAGGGTCAGGGTAAGGAAGTCAGAACTAGGAGCAAACTGAGGTAGCAAGGACTGAGTAGGAGCGTGGCTGAGAAACAAGACAGGAACAGGACTAGGAGCAGTGCTGGAGCAGGACAGGGTAAAAAAGCGAGGAGCAGCAGGCACATGGAGGATTGCAGCTACAGGAGTGAATGCACTGAGCAGCCAGAGAGCTGCCACTGCTGCTCGGCTGAGAGTCATCCAGCTGCCCTTCCTGACTGATCGGGTGGTGCAGTCAATCAGGTAGCCTGCTGCAGACCAGCTGCACTTGTTGGGCTGCCAGGAGACTAACTCTGCTGAGAGCCCTGATCCCTGATAATTAGACACCAAACACAATTATGTTCCACGAGTGAGTTGACTACTTTGGGTTAGTGCACAGCCTGTGATCTGAGTGTATCCCGTGGCAGCACTGTCTGCTATGTCCTTTTCTTCACAGGGACTGTGAATTGTACTTCTCTATAATCCATGATTTGATACCTCATTGTATCCCCAGTGACTATTATACACACCCATTGGAAGACAAGCTGCCTACATTGGCAGCCACATACACCCGCAAGCTTCATACCCTCCTTGCCTTCTTATCCAGGTATTCTGCACGGATGTGAACCAGCATGATAAGAGCAAACAGGCTTGTGCTACTCCTGTGACACTCTTACCAAAAAATGACTTACTGCATCCTCTTGCTACATCAACAGAGCAATGTAGGCTGCCCATCCAAGTCCATGGTTGCTTGGCACCTCTGCCTTCGTGAAACTGGCATAACACTTTGTACACAGGCACAGAGCCATCTGAACACATGGTCTGTAGTACAAACTGCCAAGAGATCTGTGGATGAGCAACCAGTATGTTTACTGAAGGCAACATTCCGAGTTAGGAATATTGTTAGTCACATGAGCTTCCATGCTTATAGTCACAGGAACAGGACATTACTATTTCAGCTCAAAAGTGGATTGTTTTGGGCCTCATACTAGAAATCTCAGAATGTGAATTCTGATGAAGCCAGATTGATATTCTGCAAAAGTAGCTGAGAGAGTAGGGGAGTTATAATGCAATCTCCTTTCCCCTTTGGCTTCCCCCTGAAAGTCCCCTGCAAAGAGGTTCTTCTCAAATCATAGAAGGTTAGGGTTGGAAGGGACCTCAGGAGGACATCTAGTCCAACCCCCTGCTTGAAGCAGGACCATGGTTCGATGAAATTAACAGAAATCTGTTAAACGGGTTGAAATGGTGTGAAATGTTGTTTTGTAACTGCTGGGTTAAACCCTTCCACGTAACAGAATCATTTAAGGAGAACAAAACAAAAATCAGTATTTTAAACAGGTATGATTATTAAACATATGGTGATCATTATATATTTTCTTTTTATTGCCTTATTTTCTCCCTCATTCTTCATCACCAGACATGCAGCCATGCAGCCAGTTGTTATAGCTTTCCAACAGCTGATGGGGTGGGGTGAGGGGTAGAGCGGGTTACTCTTGTGGTGGACAGGGCAGCTCACTCTATTGCTCAGAATTTCTATACTCTGCCAGCCCTTGAAATCTCTGAATATTGTTGCACTTTATTTCTACCCCTATGATTTTTTTGTTGGCAAATCTACCCAGGGAAATGGAAGTTAACAAGGATTTGATTTGTTGTGAAGGTGTGCAGGCATTGTTAAACGGTAAGGACATTGACAAGACAATTATTTGCATAAGAAGACTGTGCAGGATATATATTTAAGCTTTTTTTCTTGCGGGGGGAGGGGCATAAATAACTTAATGATAAATAAATAAAAAGACCACAGGCTGACACATTTATTGATTCATGAGCAATTTAAGCCCTTTGTTTAATCATTGAGAAAAATAAAATGGTGGTGGTGGGGGAAAAGAAATGACAGAAAACTTTAAAAAATACAGTACAGCTCTGGAGACCACTACCTTACTATACATTGTCATTTGCCAATCAGAATACAAGAGCTCCACAATTTTCTGTTAAGTAAATAAACTCCAGCTGCTGTACATTCCGATTGGCTGGTAGTAACATAATGGAGTAAAATTGAAACAATATGTTCCTTGTAAATATTTGATCTGCCAGTATTTCAGTGTCCAGATTTATTTTTATCTGCCAAAGAAGAGTGCTTGGGGTTGGGTTTTTCTTGTTGCCAGGGGCTTCCTTGCGTAATCTTGCCAATATATGGCTTGGCACAGAACAATTAGTTTCTGGCACTATGTATACACTGTACACAGGGGTGTTTACTTTGCTCAGTGGCATCATAGTCACACTCCTCTGATTAACCACATTTCTGAGTATTTAATTTTATCTGCCTTAATATTAGCCCCCACAATATGCCATAGAAAGACATGTTCCCTGACACACAGAACTTACACTCAAAAGAGTCATGAGAGATGAACAACATATGAGCAAAATGTTCAAGGTAATATTGTTTCCGTATCAGATTATTTTTTTAAACAGTGTTTGATTTTCCCCAACCCTCCTTTACCAACCATCTCTCCCCTCTCTCTTTCCCAACCTGCTCCGCTGGTGCTGCCCCACTGTTCTCTCCTTTCAAACTGCTCATTCTACGGCATAGAGTCAGGCTCAGAATGAGAATCTGGCGGGTGGAACAAAACCAATCACCCAGTCTAATGGTGCCCATTTTAATGGGAGTGTCTGGAGATCATATGCTGGTGTTTTCTAGGGGCAGAGCGAAGGGTTTGCATGGTATGCTTCCCTTTTGCAATCATTGGCAGCTCCTGCTGCTTACTCTTGCTCGCTACCACAGAGGTTGGTTGATGGAGGCTGGCGGTTCCTTCCTCAAGACGATAGGCAAACACAGTCTTAAATAGGGTTAGGGAGTACTAAACTCCTGTCTTGATGCATGGGGATGATCTACAGGACTCACTGAACATCCTTTCCACCCTAAGCGATTATTATTTTCTAACTATATCATGTCATACTAACAATTTTCCATAATAACTATCTCACCGTTCAGCAAAACTGGTTAACCAATTGTCCGGTGCTATAGCATGAAAACCTTGCCTTTATATATTAAAAATAGTAATTAAAATATCAATAAGATTGTGTACAATCATCAGTAATAATCATTTAGATTTTCATACTGTATTGCACAAGAGCAGGGATCACTATCATATGGCACTGTGACAGTATGATATGGGCTGGAGAAAAGTAATTTGTGGATTATAAAACCAGAAATGACCACTGCAATTATCTAGTCCAACTTCCTGCATAACAGGTCATAGGACTTCCCTGAATAAATTCCTGTTTGAACTAGACCATATCTAGATCCTGG